ACCTCCCCCAAGGCCCCACACTCTGATTGGACTATGGTTGGGACGCATGGTTCTTCACGAACTGAACGTTGATCCCGCCTTCATGCTAAGGTAGGGAGTAATAGGGGCCTCGGCTGCAAGCGTCAGCCAATAACCTCGGCCTATAACAAACAAACACACTAAAAATAGTCTAAGCACCTCGCTAAGCAGGAAAAGATAAGCCAGGTCAGCCAAGGTATCATACCCTTCACCCCGACCCACGGTGGTAGCGGGCCACCTCGGCTTTATGCACTTAGCGTGACAAAGGTTAGGTGGGGCACAACTCCGAACACCTAAGCGGCTCATCCCAACCTTGCCCAACCAATTTCTAAGGGGACAAGGAGCAGGCCAAGAGAGCTGAGGCAACTCCCTCCCCTCCCTACTGAGGGAAAGGGTCCTGGCCACCTCAACAACATAGCTCGGCCTCGGCCAACACCCTTTAGTTTTCTAAGCGAGTGACTAAGCAACAAACCACCTCGAACATCATCTTTTCGCTACTTGTGACCTCTTAGAAGGGGGCATGGGCCTCCGAGAAAAAAAAAACAAGAGCACAAGAAGTAACAAAAGCACAAGATATGCAAAAAAGAATTTTTCATATTCCATTAAGTGTATGCGTTCGGCCCTTACAAAAGAAGGCCTCGGCTTGGGAGATCAGGCCCTTTACAAAAAGAAAGCAAAAAAGATAGACAGAAAAGGCATAAAGGTGTGCCGCCTATGCGTCACCATCGGTAGGAGGGACGACCGAGTCCTCGACAGTAGCAAGAATAGTGGGGACCTTGGGAGGAAGGGTCTCAACAGCCAGGGGGACCTTCAGCTTGTCCATCAGGAAGTTCGGAGCCAACCACAACAACTCAAACTTGGTGTCCTCGATCCCCTCCAAGTAAGAGTCGACCCCATAGTCGACGAGGACTCATTGATACTCCTCCGACGTCTTCTAGACAAGGACGGCGTTCTTAGCGTCCTCCTGGGCCTCCACCATAGCCCTGTCAAGATGGACACGCTCGAGTTCGGACTTTTTCAGTTGCTCTTGAAACTCAGCAACCCAAGCCTTCTTTGTCTTTAGGTCGTCCTCCAACATCCTTCGGAGTTGTTTTTCATCATCCAGAGCTGAAAAGGTCATCCCGACTACTCTCGACCGAAGCAACCCACACCCCAAACTACTTATTCTTCTCCTCAGTCCCCTTCACACGATCAAGGAGCGCAACTCGATTACCCAAGCTGACGTATTGTCGGTAGACCTGCAATAAAAGCATCTCCATCAGCAAAGTCGACCAAAAAAGCAAAAAAGACAACCAATGAAGCAACGGGAAGGAAAACATACCTCGGCCAAAAAATCCAGGCCCTTGTCCCGAACGGCAAGGGGGTTTGCGTTCATCATGGCAAGACAATCCCCCTAAGGGATCTTCCCCTTGATCAAAGCTCTACTGACCACTTGGGTATCAATAGAGTCCTCTTCCCGGATGTTCCATCGAGGGTGGAACTCTCGTCGTGCAACGAGTCCCCTATTCTAGAGGCTCCGCTAAAGAAGAAGGGCCGGTTACGGGCCCCTTTGTTGAAGGCCCCCTCGGAGTAGCAGCAGCCTTCCTCGGTCACCGCCCTCAGCTGGGCGGTCTTTATGTGCCAACCTCTTCCCTGGAGGTGGAGGAGGTGCATCAGTTAGCCTCTTCTGGTCGGTCACCCTTTGCTAGCCCCCTCGGCCAGCTTCTTGCCTCGGTCAGCCCCTCCGATAGTAGCAACTGACGGCCAAGGCATCCTCTCAGCAGGTGCGGGAGCAGACCTCAGTTTCTGCCCCCCAGACGTGCCCTCGTCGGGGGCATTCTATTTTGCCTAGGCCCTCTCTAGCAAGAATCTCTTCTCGTCCACTGGCATCTCTACAAGGAAACGAAATGAGTCAGTACCGCCAAGAAGGATGAAAGACCGACATGTTAAAAGCCGACAATAGGACTTCACCTACCGAGGCGGGAAAGATGGAGCCCGGTGAAAACTAAGGAAAACTCCTTCGTCACAAGGGCTTGGCCCTGATCTTCTCCAACACCATGATGTGGGTCATCACTACGACTTCATCATCCTGAAGAAGAGGTGTGCTCTTCCAGTTGTGCACATACGAGGGGTTGTCTACGGGTCGGCCTCTCCGAGGCTAGAAGTAGTACATACCACACTTAGTTGGGTGTGGCCTCAGCACGAGCATGGCATGGAAAATTTTTTGAGTAAGTTGCACGTCCCAAAGCCGAGCCACCACCAATTGGGCAAGGATGGTCCCAAGGGCATTGGGTACTAACTAGCTGATTGTGATGCCGTACCACTTCAACAAATCAGCGATTAGAGGATGGAGTGAAAATTTGAGGCCAAACTCCAAAAAATGTTGGTAAACGCAGATCTCCCCCTCCTCCAGTGTCCATAGCCAATCCCTAGTGTCGGGAACCCTAAGCCTATAGGACAAGGGGATGTGGTACCTCCTAGTGAGGGACTTGACCTGGTCCAAGTCAAGGACACTGTCATGCTCTTAGCACAACAAACACCTTATCGACACCCCTTGGGCAGCGTATTCAGCCACCGCCCTTGGGTTGGGCTCAGGGACCTCCTCCCCCTCTACCACTTCGGGGGATCTCTCTGGGAGAGTCATCACCCCTTTGGCTGCACTTGGCGCCTTCGAGGGCAGTCCTCTCCCTCAGCACCTCGACCTCATGCCTCAAGGCTAGGACCTTGGCCATCGAAGAATCTCGGCTGGGGTTAGCAAGTGACGAGGTCTAGTAGGAGCTTGCCCCCGAGGAGTTTGGGAGCTCATACCATTCAGGGCCGAAGTCGGAATAAGACATGGTGATGAGGTGTTTACCTAAATGAAGATGAATAGGAAGTTCTAAGGAAGGCGAGTAAGCTGAGGGCTCTGGGAAGTGAAAGTCACTTGAAGGCAAAGACTCTTGGAAGCAAATGGTGAGAAAAAACACGACTAAGGCTCATATTTAAAGGAAAACGAACAGCCCAGATCGCCCCCGATCCAATGGCTGCGTAGCGACTGCCTTTATAGCCCTATCCATCGACCGACACACATCATCGCCTCGGGAAGACGAAATGATGTAGAGTGAGCCGACCGGTTCTCTCACTATGCTCATCAGTTCGACCCGTGACGCCAAACCAACAAGCACGCGCAACTTGACTCGCTCGACTCCCATTCCACCCACGGACGCGATGCTACAATCTGTCGCAGGCACGACCACGGTCCACTAGTCCAAAACCCGTGTCGCTCATGGTCTACACCCGACGTTGAAACCTGCCTCCTTCACGGCTCGTAGATTGACCATGGTGAGTTTCGTCTTGCAAGTAGCTAAGTCACGAGCTCGGGCCTCCTGGTGTCATGACCTCGACACCCTCAACCGAGGTCGAGACCTCAACAAACTTGTCCTTGCACCGGTAAGAAAACAGAGCAGGGGTAGAATTCCCTCTTGTCCATCTCTGGCGTGGACACCGAAGCTGAAGCCGGTGACTCCTAGCAGCAAGAGCCTCCACAACACCCCTCAAAGAAGGGAACGAAGATCAAGTCGATGCCACTGCAAGCCACTTCATGCTCATCCCAGATCAGCCAAGGCCGAGACCCTTATCCAGAAGGCCCAACAGTGCCTCCCAATAGAACCAACACACTCTCTTCAGCCGAAGCCGAGGTCCTCAGCTCAGACCTCCACCACGGCCTTAAGAGTGGGGGGCAAATGATGTAGGCGCATGTGGCCTTGCCCAATTGGGTCTGCATGTTTTGGGCGGTGGTGTTCAAAGCAGACCCAATCAGGGTGCGCGCGGAGCAGAGCTCAACGGGCTTCCTGGAACTAGTAGCACGGAGTCACTTGGTGACCTCGAATGACGGTGCTCCTCATGTACGGACCACATCTAGACCGTCCGAGCCCACCTACCTCCAAGCGGCCTCAAGTATAAATAGGGTGCAGCCCTCTCAAGGTAAAAACATCTACAATGACTGGACTAGAATTTAGACTTAAGGACAAGCACTTGAGAACCTCTAGCTTCCTTTGTGGCCTCGTCTACTCTACGCCTCTCCAAGTACTAACTTGACTATCAGAGTCTCCACCTTAAATATCAACCCAGGGCCTCTAACATTCTCCCTCCTCTACTCCGTGCAGGACCGGCCTACTAGTCCTCAGCCATCTTGGACCTCAGACCATTCAATAACACCTCGGCTTGGGAGCAAATTTACAATATTGCCCTCAACCCATTTTAACCGGCAACAAGATATATAATTTGATCTCAATTAAATAATGGGTTCAAGACTGATTTTAAAAATATAACTTAATTTATTATTATATCTGCAAATAAACGTAAAAAAATTGTATCTTCACCTGGCATTTTTAAATTTCGCATAGGCTTCTACGCTAGTTCATGTGAAAATAAAGGAACCGTTGAGCAAGACACTATCATCATTTCTAACTCCAATGAAATCCGAGTTTATGCCTAATTTCTAACTCCCTCCTCTACTCCGTGCAGGACCGGCAACAAGATCTATGATTTACAGTGTTGTTGGCTGGCAACAAGATCTATGATTTGATTTCAATTAAATTTCGCATTTTTAAATTGTATCTACAAATGGCATTTTTAAATTTCGCATAGGCTTCCTCCCTAGTTCACGTGAAAATAAAAAAGAACTGTTGACTAAGACACTATCATCATTTCTAACTCCACTGAAACACGAGTTTCCAATGCCCACTTTCTGTGCTCCGAATTCCATAAAAACCAAAAAATGGACTCAACTCAAATGACCGAATTCTGCGGATCACGGATTTGACTAATCCAATTCTGTTCCCGAATCCAAATCCCACATCATCCACGCCACACAGAGCCTATCATAAAGAAAAAATGAACCGATCCAACGGTTCAGGATCCCCCATCTCTTCAAAAGAGTATTCCCGTAATTTAACTCCATAAAGCTACAGAATGAAAACGAAGAAAGAAAAAAAAGGAAAGAGAAGAGAGAAAGGAAAGGAATGTCTGAAATTGAGCATGAAGTGTTCTTCCATGAAACTCGTTCTCTTTGCTCACCCAAACCCCTTTTCCACTCCTTCATAATCCTCCTCACAAATTCCAGATTATTCCTTTCCATATTTGCCCTCACAACCTTCCCACTTTCTCTCCTCCTCTTCGTTCTGTTTCTCTACTCCGCTCCTCTCAAAGCCCAAATCTACAACCTTGAAGCCCTCGCAGCGTTTACATCCACTCCGTTCGAAGCTCGTCATGTCTCGGAAGAATCACGCTCCGACTCGCTCATTCTACTCCGAGTCAAGTTTCTCTTCTTTCTCCCTTCTTACGCTCTCTCCATCTTGGCGACGATAGCGTCCGTCAACTCGACGGTGTTGGCTTGTTCCGGGAAGCGGCCGAATTTCCAGACGGCGTTTGCAGCGGTTCAGGCGATTTGGAAGAGACCGTTGGTTACGTCTGTCTATGTGTTTGGAATCATGTTGCCGCTCGAGCACGTGCTCCGAACGTTATCGGCGATGATTGCAGGTGGCACACCTATGAGGTGGGTGGTGGCGGCCGCCGGAGCCGCCTTGGAGGTGTATGTGAAGGCGGTGCTGAGTCTGGCGATGGTGGTTTCGGTGGTGGAGGAGCGGTCCGGGTGGGATGCCGTGAAGATGGGGTGGTGGGTGGTGGAGGAAAAGCGATTTTGCTGGTGGGTTTTGGCTGGATTTCTGGGGTTGGTCTCGGGTGGGGTCTGGCGTGGGCTTAGTGTTGTGATAGACGATCAAGATTGGATGATGGAAGTGGGGCTGATTTGCTTATGTGGGTTTGTTATCCTATGGAGTTATGTCGTTATTACTGTTTATTATTTTGGATGTAGTAACAGGACACGGCACGTTGATGCAGTGGATGATGGGCCCACCATTTAAAAAGAATTTGTCCATTTCTGGAGATTTCTGTTGTACAAACCACAACGAGTGTGATGTTTGAAAATCGTTTCTGATTCTGAATTTCCATGTTAACTGATAACTAGAGAACATTCTGTTGATGGATGGACCCACCTAGCATGTCAGTCTTACCTTTTCCTCTTCATGTTTAACAGTTTAAGGTGCCCATTATCCGTGAGATTGGCAACATAGGCGAAGATCAACGGTCAGTGAAAGGTGGAAACGATGGATTCAGATCCGACGGTGATGAAAACATCCTCACTATAAATCAAAGCAGCCGTCGAATCAAAAACCGGGTATGCACAAAAATCCTCCAAGGCGCCAATTGGGTTGGGCTTTGGCCTGGCTGAATCTAACCTGACCCGGAAGTTGGGCTGCAACTTGGGTCGAGTTAGCCCGAACCCAATCATAAACCAATCCAAAAAAGTATTTTGTGCCTTCTTGTAGATCTCTTTCCTCTATTTCAGTGGTTTGGTCTTCACGGRTTATATTTCTTTGTCACATTTTTGGATTATTCTTGCTGATTGTAATTTAGCCGATTATATTTTGAGCATTTATTTCTGACACTTTTCCTTTGCTTAAAAAAAAGAAAGTTTAGTTTAGCTTTCTAATCATAAATTAAAAGAATTTGAGAGAGTAAGTTGTTTTCTAAGGTGAACTCTCACGGAGATTAAGGAACATTATTGAGGACTGTTATCGTTTTAGTGTGCGGATGAATTATAATATCAGGCACTGTTATATTTATTATGAAGCTAATCAAGCGACGAATTGGTTAATTTATCCGATAGCGATCCACCTTTATCTGTTATTGAATTTTCATCAGACTTAGAGTTCATTTATTTTTGTGATAGTAATTTAGGGGACGTATTACCCCCAACTTTGGATTGGATTGGGTGGGTTAAAGTTGAGGGATTTTAGGTTGGATTAGAATTAAGATTGACCAAGTGAGGTTAAAAGTCGGGTAAGGTATTTAAAAACTTGGGTTGGTCTAGGATTCACCTCAACCGGACTTAAACCGGCCCGACTTCCACCCGAACCCAGAAACTTAGACGTGTGCGTAGCCCATTTTGTGGATTGTGAACCCCACAAGCAACGTAGTGAGTAGTGACTCTCCTACAGAAAGTCAATAAGCATTGTCTTTTACATCCTACCGTGCCATAAAGTAGGTCCATTTTGTTCTTCAACCATGTGTTTCAACTTTCAATAATCCCAATTGTTCTTTTTGCTCTATTTGCTGTAAAGGAAGAACATTTCTACTGGCTTTTTTTTTTTTTCTAACTATGGGGCTATTATATTCATGGATCATCGATCTCTTGGGTCCTAAGCTGAGTATGTCCACTTTGCTTAGTATGTGGGCCCCCACTCATCTACCTCAGTTTGGAGCATTCAATATTATATATGCTAAAGTATTTTTTTTTTTTTTTTTTGGCATAGTAAAATATTTACTAAAATATCAAGAAGTCTTTATAGCTTGCCATATGTCCTGGACCAAGATGATAAGATGATAAGGACACAACATTTAATTAGTTCCATTTACATTACCCATAAAAAAAGAAAAGTGAAAAGGACATGTATTGAAGAAAGATATACCCCATATGTCGTTAGTAGCGTGTGATTCAATAATCACGCTGAAAAAACAATAAAAAAAAGTATTTGTGGAATCTTTGGGTAGTGTACATATCGATATTTTGAAGTTTGAAGCTTGGATTGTAGTAAGAAATGATTTTAATGAATATTGTATTATTATAAAATGAAATGATGAAACAGAATTCATGTAACTGACCTTTTATGTCTTTAGACCTAAAAAAGAAAAAAAAAAAAACAAAATTATAACTCTATCATATAGTTGGGAAAATGATTAAAAAATGATGACGATGATGATAAAGCAATTTTTATAAAATAAGAAAGGTATAATGCCTACATGAACTTGAATGAATGCATGCCAATTTTCAAAAATCACCAATCTATTTCAATTGTAATACTGAACGTCGAATTAGAGATAATATTTCCAATGCTTTGAATGTCCGACACATGTGTACACATAGGGGTGCCCCTTTAAAAGGGTGGGGGAATATTGCTGGCTGGTTGTATATTTTGGATCGTATGAAATTTCGATTTAATTAGCAGGTTGGAAGATCCCTTTGTTATCTCAAGTGCGAATAACTGTGTTAATCAAGTCAGATGCAATCTCGACTAATGCTTAAAGAAATTTTGCCACCAATGTAGAAATTTATGGTGGGGTGATTTAAAAGATGAAAAGCGAATTCATGTCTCTAAATGGGAGCATATGTTGAAGTATGGTTTTTAAAACCAAACCGGTGACCGAATCAGTCAGGGTTCCGGTTACTGGTTTGAATGGTCTGACCATTTGATCTGAATGGTTGGTTTGTTCTGACAAAAAAAGTTTAAAAAAAATATTAAAAATTTTGAAAAACAGTTAATTGACCGGTTCAGCAGTTTGCTGACCAAAATCAACAGTTTTAAGAAAAACTGTGTTGAAATCCAAATCAGAAGGAGGGTTGGGGCCGTTGGGCTTAGTGGCAGTGGAATATGGGAATAGAGCTTTGCTAGCTAAAATTGGGTTGGCGTTTTTTGACACAAAAGTTTAATTTCTTTATGGACCCAGATCTTAAAATCAAACTATTTACGGGAAAAAAAATTAACATAATGCATCTATAGGGTTTTCTCACACTTGGCGAAGTCCGAATTCTGAAACAAGGGGCACTTGGTGATGCTGTCTGATCTGAGGTGTCCCAAACCAAGATCGCAGTCAGATCATCTTGCCAATTGGCGAAACCGAGGTGGAAGGATAAAGCCGTACACCAAGAATTGAAACAAGAAAGTGGTCAGAGGTCCGATGAGTTGTTCTCTGGGTAGGTACTCCGACGTTCAAGTTAGTCAAGAACGATGGGTGGTTGGGCMAAGCAGTTGAGAGAAAAGTATTGGTCCAGGTAGAAGCAAAATAACAGTATGKMTGTTAAAAAGTCAAAAATTTCTTACCTTGAACATACTTACTTATAGCCGAGAATCCGTGTCTTATTCGAATAAGGCTTTCGGAGTTATCAGGATGAGGTTATCCGTTAAGATCTTCGGGATAAGTCCTAATTCTTGGCAGAGCTATCCTCCTTATTCGTACAGGGTTTTTTTCTTAATCACACTTATCCGTCTTACATGATGCCAACATGGCCGAAGTGATATGACACCTGGGGCCAAGTTCAACCATAACCCAAACACTTGAATCATTGCAGATGGCTGGTCGATTGATTTCTTTCATGATCCATGGAGTGTATTAATTATGAAAACTTGCTTCCAGAAACTCCAAGAGTTGCAGAGTTATTCATTCACCGGTATAAGCAGTGGAATTTAGAGAGGTTGCAAAATCAATTTCCCACATAAATTGTGTCATTAATTCAATCGGTTCCCCTACCATTGACTCACTCACAGATGGATGATAGCTTGGTTTGGTGCAAAATACCTCATGGTAAATTATTTACTGTTTCATCGGGCATTGAAGAAACCATGCCTAGCTCCTCCACTTGTACTATTTTACATGATATGTAATGGAATCATCTTTGATCACATAAGCTTTTATCTCCATCAATCAAACTCTTTTTATAGCGTTGTGCACATCATATACTAGCTAGCAATGGCTGAAATGCACCAGAAGCATATTGATACAAGATGCTCGATCATTCTGTCATTCTTTATCGTTATGTCCGGCGGTGCAAATCATTTGGCTTGGATCCTGCATGAATTTCACCCAGATGGTTTCCAATTTACAAACATTCCGACACTACTCTGTTTTTTGTTGTGGTAGCGAGATGTTCAACTCAACTCTTCCATACGCAACGCTCACGCTGAAATTGATTGGTGCTTGAACCTTTATGATTCTCCCATCTTTTTTACACCATTAACTCCTGGATTACCAGCGGTGTGGTCCAAACCTGCATTCAATTTCTTAAAATTGAACATGGATGCAGCTTTCAAACTAGGGGCAGGATTTATTGGACAAGTCATTCAGAAAAGTTTTAAATGCCAACTGCCATCTTGACACAACCCCCTTCTTTCGTTTTTTTTTTTCTTTTTTTTAATGAAAGAACTAAAAATATATGATAAATAAAAAATTATGAAAAACGAAAAAGGACCAAAACAACATAATGACCGGCTACCACCAAATTAAACAAAGTCCGTAAAAACATTTATATATAACCCAAAAACCAAAAAGGCCCAAGCCCAAACACCAACCATAATTAGCAACGCGAGTTCATACCTCTACATTCCACCTGTTCAAGCCAACTGAGTCATCTCCAAATCTCTCTATTCTCCTTTCCCTGAGAGCTCCATTGCCTCAAGCTTTCCACACACTCGCAAATTAAGTTGTCAAAGAAATATCAAGCATGCATCATTTTATTCCTTGAATAAAAGAAAAGCGAAAGTAAAATTTCACCTGCTGTTCATGACTTCCAATGAATAAAATCTTGGACGAAACTGCAGACTTCTCTTGACCATGAAGACTCTAGTTTGGGTCTCCACTTGATTCCTAGCGACAATATGATTTTACAAAAGGCAAGTGGAATAAAAATCAGGACAGAGTGGTGAGTCTTTTATAGCTGAACTAGGAATCCAAAAGGTTTTCACCCATCAAAAATCTTGAATCCCAATTAAATCCACTATATATAATGAATAAGGCCCTGTTTGATTCGTGGGAATAGGGATCTGGATTTGGAATTGGAATGGATTATTCCGATTCCAACTGTTTAATTGGGTAAAATCGGAATCCCATTCTCATTCCTGCTGGAATGGCATTCCCCCTTTTGAGGGAATGGCCATTCYCTGCCCCTTTTCTTGAGAATAAAATTCCATTCCTATTGATTTTAATTCCCATTCTCATCCCTATCTAAACCAAACAGACTATAGAAATAGACCATTCTGATTCTGATTCCAGTTCCAAATATGAATCAAACTGACCCTAAGTTCTAAGT